TGGTAATGAGAGTGATGAAAGCAAATATCAGGATAATAATGAAGTGAATATCAGGATGAACAATTTAATATATCAGATAATAGTGATTATATATTAGAAACATCAAGTGATAATGATAATTATTGATAAATGTATATAATAGTTATAGAAAATAAAATCATTATTAGTTTTTTGAATTATTTGATTACTATATATGTACATGTAGATCATTATGCTATGCGCGCATTTGCCCATCTCTAGTCTTCCAACCCCAGTAGCCAGATAATATACAACCAAAAGTATTAATCATTAATCATTAGTACGATATTTTTTGAGTATTAAAAAATTTAAAGAATTGCGGATCAACAAAGTTTCTTCAGTCTAATTTGAGACAATAGTGTTGAACCGGAAGAAATTATCGAAAACGCAACCTGTGTCGAGTAGTCAACGGATGAAATGTATCAACAAAATAACAGTCTCATTAACAAAAATAACCTATTGATTCCATATGAATGAATATCACGAGATTATATTCGTTTAGTGATCAAAGCTAACGGTGCCGCTATATCATATCGCTAAACTTGTCGTAAAGTGATGGAATAAAAGACCATATACGAATCCAATTAGTCGACAAATCGATAGCAAAATTAAGCAGGATTGTGAATTATATTGTTGTTGAATCGTTGTAATGTTAGTTGCTGTATTTTAATTATAAATATGTATGTGATTTCAATACGTATTGAAATCTCATACTTACGTGTTAGAGATTGGACCCGGGTCACCGAATCACTCGCGAGTGGGTTGGATATCCGGGTCGGAGTTATGACCACCCAAGTCATGTTTTTTTGGATGGTCAAACTTCCAGTCGAAGATGAGGGTTACTTTCGGCCGTAGTAAATGTCGAATGTTTGGATGATTCAACTTTATAAAGATGATTGGATAAAGGTATCAACATTAAAAAATAAATAAATTCGAACTTTTCTTTTTTTTGAAAGATCTACCAATGTTGAATAACTTTAAAAGAACAATCCATAAAGCAACCTGTTTGATAGAAGATCGATATTGTTGGCAAAACTATTCTACCAGACGCGGAAAAGATAATACATGTGTCTAAACTCCCATGATCGTACAGGATCAGTAACGAGTTCCATTTGGGTAATACCATTACGTTAACAAAAACCTTAAAAATAAAGTTTTCAATCGATCGAGAAAAATTTTTTTGATGCATACATACAGAACGAGTTTATCGCCTGCTTTCATCGTGTGTGATTAGATATCGATATCATTCATGGTACTCTTATAGTTGTACAAAATAAATGTAGTTAAAGGACAATTTACTTGATTATTCATAAAAAAAACTCTAATGTTAATGAAATAAAAACAATACTGCAAAGTAAACTAAGGTATTATTGTTCAATATTGCGAAAATCAAGAAAGTTTCGAGATTTCATATGACCTACGGACCACGAGCGGGATTAAATACACGTACCATACCGAGCTCTTTTTAACTAAGTTACAAAGTTTCTTTTATTTGTGTATTATCTCGGTCAATATCTAAAATGGTCCGTCATTCTACCGAAAGTCGGCTGAAACTATTATTTATTAAAATATTTCATCTGAGCAGTTGTACGATAGCACTAATTAATATACGCAATGTTGTACATTTTGAAACATTTTTACTAAGCAAGTTAATGAAGAATTTAGTTATTATCTTTTCGACTGTCCCAACTTTGCCGTGTACCACATTGATTAACGTTAATAAAATGGAAGGTTACGTAGGAAAAAGAATTATTGTATAACGATTAGTTATCTAAATTACAAAATTTAAAAAATGAAAAATAACAATGCATTTATTGATACCGATAGCAATGAATCCACTCCATTATTAAAAAAAACACCTTGGTATCGTAGACCTTCATCATATTGGTTGTTAGTTGCCTTTTTTGTCATTGCATTGACATACGGATTCGGACTAGTCATTCGCGTACAATTATACATAAAAATTGTATGCAAACTTTACTATGAATCAGAAAATAAAAGCGACTTAAAGGCTGATTACAGTTATTTATCCTCCTTTACTTCACTATTATCGTCATCATCAACAAATAATATAATTTTTAATGGCGGAGAATCACCGAATTTAAATTGTAACATTCCTCAAGTGCATGCGATTACTTCTCAATTAATGCTGATATTGAATTTATGCGTGGCTTTACCTGGCAAGTTTACATGTTTCTATTTAAGAGCGAAATTAGGCTGAACATCGTATCATCAAGGCTTAATTATATTCTACACCTTAACATAGCCATTTTTGTCTTAGGTGCACTAGGATCCTTATCCGATAGAAAAGGCCGTCGAATTTCATTATTACTAGCGACCACAGGAATCTGCTTCAACGTTACAGTTCTTATCGTAATTGCGGAATATGTAGAATACATTAATCCAATATTTTTAGCAGTTGGTTCTTTGGTGGAAGGTCTCACTGGAGGTCTACTATCATTTTTTGCTATAAGCCAAGCATATATCACTGATTGTACAATACCAAGTCGAAGGTATAATAAGTTTATTGTTATTCCATTTAACGCTAATATAGTGTGAATTGACAATATTTGAAATAATTATTAGGAGTGTAATGTTCGGATGGTTACATGGCGCAACATTACTAGGCGTATCAGTTGGACCACTAATGGGCGGATGGATAGTATCAGTCACAAATAATCTGTTATCTGTCTTCTACGTTTCCGTCATAATCTTTATGGCAATCTTTCTATTCATATTATTAATCCTTCCTGAATCGTTGTCATCCGAAAAACTCGAATCAAATGCTCAATTACGATTATCCAAAAATGAGCAACGACAAAGCTCGCTAAGTTTAAAACGATTGCGGGAACAAGTTTACATCATATTCGAACCATTAAGCATTATTTTACCAAAATCGTTTAATTCAACAGAAAACAAGGAAGATGGAGAGAAGAATAAAAAGATGACTTTTCTTTTGGCAAATATTATTGCAATGATCGCTGCATCAAATTTTGGAATACAAGCGATTTTTGTTTTATACACGAACTACAAATTTGATTGGAGCGCATTAGATCAAGGATATTTTATATTTTGGTCGTGTGCAAGTAGAGCATTAATATTGTTTTTTGGGTTGCCTTTATTAGTGAAGTGCTTTAGGAAGTATCGAGGAGATATGAAAGACAATATCAAAGGAAAAGGGAGACTGACACAACAATTGATATTGTCCACTTCATCGGCTAATGACGTTTCGTCACAAAAAATGTTACTTGATATATGGATCATCAGAGTCGGATTAATCATTGAATCCCTTACTTTTGTTGCTTATGGAACAGTTACAGTTGGATCAAGTTTCACCTTAGGTATGAATCAATTCACCGATGTTTAATCACAATTTTAAACAAAACTTAAAATTGAATTCTACCAATTCATAAAGCCACATTAATAGGGTCGCTAGGCACAATTTCAATCCCCACAGCCAAATCGTTACTCACAAATACAGTACCAGCCTCACAAACAGGACAATTACTAGGCGCACTAAGTGTCATCGAATCAGTAATGCGACTAGTATCCCCAGTCATTATGAGTACACTATATAGTTTGCTGGTGGCGAATGCACCGCATGTTATTTGGTTCGTTCTTGCTGGGTTTTTAGCTGTTGGGGCAACACTTTCTTTTTTTATTGTATTTGAAGATGAGGTTAATTGAAAATGATATTTCAACCGAAAAATTATGTATTTATACTTGTATAGCCAGTATGTACTATAGCTTAAAAGTAAATATTCAATTTCAATATTTTAATCGTTTTTTCGAAGGAATCGGTTTTTTTTGTTTATTTTACTATTGCAACTAATAAGCGTCGCAAGCTTTCCATGATATATCATTTCCCCCATTGGATTGGGTTTCGTCCATTTTTTGGATTGTATTAGTCGAAGAGCGTTCCGTAAATCAATAAAATTTCCAATCTTCTGAAATATTCGTAAGACAGAAACCAAGCCCATTTTTCCCGTGGCGCAATTACAGGACAGCGTACACTTTTTTTCGAAGAGTATACATTTGAAACGATTTTCTAATGAATACGAGGTTATTATCATAGTATATTTTATATATAGCGGTGTAATGATTTGTTAAAATCGGTCAAATAAAATGATTAAACAAATCATTAACCGTTAGATTATAAGCAATTGCCAACTGTCTGGTCAATTGACCAATTGAAGTCAAAAAAATTGTTAATTTATTAATTTGATTGAGTTATCTATCGTCTTCAATTTAAAAATAAATGATTGAATCGTAGATCAAAATCACTTGATGCAATTTTTATTCATCTACCATTTAATTTACAAGCTAACGCTTTATTTAATTTTATAACTTTCCATTTAAGTTGATTAAATTGGACAAAGAATTTAAAGCCAATAAAGACTTTTTTTCACTAAATACCTAACCACATTTTTTCTCGTTATTTTAAATCATAATTCAAACAATTTTTATTCCAAAATGCCTCCAGAATATAACAATAAGCTCTGACAAAAATGATATTCATTCCAGAAAATCACATTATCAACACAGGTAGTATCTATTATATCTGCAAAAATAAAGAGAAATTTCAAAGATAAGCCTGGGAATTTATGCATTCTTTCAGATCATTATGAGTCAGAATGCTATCTGATTAATCACATCTAGAAAATACTCTACTGTCATCCAAGTTTATCATGAGCTTCAAACTGAACCGGAAGTTGACATTCCTATTGAAAAGCATATGACATGTTACTTCAACTATGGACATAGATATTATTACCGTAAAACGCCATGCAAACTATTGCGGATCTCTTACATTCTACCCTCATGTAAATTGATTTATACCCGGTGGGTATATTATAATGAGAAACGGTCTTCTATATTGGGGATTTGTGTAAAGGGTATATTAAATGGGGATATATTTAATGGAGAATATAATAATAATGATACATGTAGTAACCAAATGCAGTAGTGTTGTATTTATTATTTTATCATACAGTAGGGAGCAAAAGTATCCGAACGCTCATATAGTGTATAACAAACCATAATCGCCTGTAAAATTTCAGCCCAATCGGGCGTCTCCAGAAAAATTTCCAAACATCCAATGTTTGCCTCTAAAAACATACAAAAACATATTAAAGCCGCACGTCGAATATTTTGACATAAACTTCAAAAATCAATATCTCCACATGTTTCTAATCGATTTGTGTAATCTTTTTTTTGTTTTGTTTCCTAA